TTCTTTTTCTTGCATTGTGTCCTAACTTTAGCTAAGCTTGTATTGATTCCAAAAATTTTATCGTAGGTCTTTCGATACAACTTAATTTTTTCCATGTGATTTTAGGTCTACCCCGTCCCTTTATAATACCTTCACTCACCATATTTTCACATTTATAGACCGGCGCATCTGTAAGATGATGCAAGGTATGAGCAAACAATCTTAAGCTACATTTTCTCATTTTATCATTAATTCATGCTAGTTGCACCTTCTAGAGAATGCGAACATTTTTAATCTTATCTAATATATGGTTGTACATCCATTCTTAGCATCTGCATATGTGCAAAACCCATCTTGTGTATATGTTGGACTTTAGCAGCCCAACATTCACTACCGTATAATATTGCTGATCTTACTGTTCTATAAAATTTACCTTTCACTTTGGTAGACATCTTTCTATCACATAATACCCCGTTTGCACTTTTCTGTCTCAATCATATTCAGTTTTTGTCTTATGAGTAACATCTTCATCTATCACTCTATTATCTTAAAATAACAAGCCATGATATCTAAATTATTTGCATGTTGGCACCACTATCCATCTAGAACCCATTTGGATTGGCTTGTTTGAAGTGTTTTTAAGCCAAAATCGCTTTTAAGTCATTTTATAATTTATAGTGTTTGTATATAAAAAAGTGCTTTTAAGTACTTATTTTTAAGCTAAAATAACAAAAACAAGCCAAAAACCAAAAATTAGAATTCCTAACTTATGACTTAAAAGCTATTTTAACTTAAAAATCACTTAAAACAAGCCCATCCAAACGGGCTCCTAGTCTCACCTTAACTTCGTTCTTCTCGTGCTGACTAAATTTGCAATGTTTGTATTCTGTCTCACTAGACTAAAAAAAATACCAAGGCTTATAGTTTACGTAGTAACTAAGGTATCAATAGGAGTCTTCCGCACAATAGATGTCAGTTAACTTTTCCCTTCTCCTTTCCCAGGTAATAACAAATTTATTTATTAAAAAACCCTAATTTGAGAATTGTAAGAGCATAAACCTGGTAGAGCGCTTGCAAATAAAAAGGAAAAGGAAAGGAAAGGAAAGGAGGCCAGGATTAAAGACAGTCATGTGGTCAAAATAAATGTTGTGGGGTAATATTTCAGCTACCTATGTGGCTTTCATAGCCAATTTCACATTTCTCCTTTCCGGTCCCACTTCTAATACTGTTTTCTTTTACACCCCTACCCCACGGCAAAAACCCAGAAAAAGAGGAAGGAAAACACACACACACAACTATGCCTAGTTTCGAGTTGTAACTCTTTCTAAAATCCATTTAAAATCAACCCATAACTAACGTGTTTTATTATATCTGGTGGCGTGTTATATCTCAACCTTAAGTATGTCTTACTTACGATCTTGATTCTTCAATTATGATTCGAAATTATTCTAAGTAATGTGGTGGGATATCTGTTTTGAGGGTAATGGGATTGAATAACTTAACAAGAAAAATAGAAATTAGAGAAAAAGGCTAACATGTTTTAACAAGTGAAACAAGACCAAATTTCAAAGACTATATATATATATATATATATGAAAGATGCACAACTTTTATTTCATAAGTAATTTAACATGACTCCAGACGAAATAATTTAACATTGAACTTTAGTATCCGATATATAGTTTAAGACTTAAAGTGATATAATAAAAAAGTGATAATCATTTTTATAGAAAATATCACACTTAAGTTAAAAAATTTTGAGACATTACAAAATAAAAAAGTTATTACAAAAATAAGGATTCACGAAGCAGTAAAAAAAGAAACGTAAGGTTCAATAAAACTTTACAGCCCTATAAAATGTTGAGCTATAACAAGTTGCTAACTGCCAAGAGAAAGTATCACTACACGATTAGTTTGATGGATCATTAATTTATACCTACTTTTTCATATACAACTCTAGACTAAAACTTCAATTGTGAAACATGTGTATCCAATTGTTCAGGCTATTAAATTCCTTAAATAAATCAAATTGAAAAAGAGACCTCACATTTTGTTTCCAACTAACCAATTTAATCCCACCCGAAGTAACAAAAATATAAAGAGATTAAAAAAGAACTGCGTGAAGTACAAGAAAAAAAATATTTGTTCCTGCTTGCCATTGATCAGATAATTAAAGTACCGTAATTTAATGTTGAGATAGACAGGATTCAACACCGACACTCTACTGTCCAACATAGTAGCTATTTACATATGTTGCAGAAGTTCTAAATTTCTCAAGCCATCAATACAAGGGAAAATGATGAATCTGAAATTGAGCAATTTTGTTCTGTCACATTTTTTATCTAATATTATGCATGTTGTTAAGAAAAGAACTCGTTTAGTTTTTGTCTTTGATTCCTAACAGAGCTTTAATTTAAAGATAATTTCAAATATCTTCGAAAAAAGTTGAGAGGTATATTTGGACTTTTTTTTATCAAAGAATTTAGCTATATATTTGTCCTTTCTTCTTCTGGTTTACTCTCTCAGTTTCAATTTAGATTAGGTAGTTTGACTCGGCACGAAATTTAAGGAAAAAAGAAGATTTTTGAAACTTATGGCCTTAAAATCTTAAGGGGTAAAAGCTTTGTGGGGCCATGACATTTTTGTGATTATAAAAGCTTCTTATTAAATGTAAAATGGATAAAATGAAGAGTTTAAAGTTGAATTATGTCCAAAATTTAGAAATGTATCATTTATTTTGAAACGGACTAAAAAGAAAAGTATCACAATCTAATTTGTAATTACTCCATTTCCCCTAGGCATGTCCTAGCCTCCTAGGTGATTCTTCTTTTCGCTTGTCAGTTCGATGAGTCTAATCTCTCAATCCATCTTTCATAGGTGTACGTATTTCTTGCACGTCTGTGTTTATTTACTCGATTTGTCAGAAAATCTATTGTCGCCTTCTAACCGTGCGCATAAGCTTGAGTCCCGAACCATAATGATACTACCTCCGTTTTAATTTAGATTAGGTAGCTTGATTCGGTACAGAATTTAAGAGAAAAAAAAGACTTTTAAAATTTATGGCCTTAAAAGTTTAAGGGGTAAAAAACTTTGTGGGGCCATGATATTTGTGTGATTGTAAAAGCTTTTCATTAAGGGTAAAATGAGTAAAATAAAGAGTTTAAAGTTAAATTATTTATCATATACACCTTTTGATAATACAATATGTTTTTCTCTCTCTCTCTTCGCTCTAGCTTCTCTCTAAGCGTAGGTTAATCTAACGTACGCACTGGAGCTCCATGGGAAGGGGGCGAGGTCGGGGAAGGGGACGACCTAGAAAAGAGATACAAATAGCGTTTGGAAGTTCGATGCATGTCAATCCAAGGAGAAAGCATCAACATCAAAGCAACCAGTGACAAAAATACCAATGGAATAGTACCCAGCCTTAGATCCGTCATCGAGCTCAGCTGTGAAAGCTATAACAATGGAGGATGTGGAAAAAACTCCTATAACAGAGAATTCTAAGGTGAAGGAAGAAAAACAGAGTAAACTAAGTACAGATCTAGTACAGAAAGAGGTGATTCCAGCTCGAGAAGCAGTAGATGCAACAGTAAAGAGTGACGAGAATCAAAAGGAAGCAAAGGAGATGGCTAAACCAAAGTGGAACTCACTATTTGCTGGAAATAGAGTGGCAGAAAATGGAATGGCCCTAAGCTACTTTCCTCCCCAAATTGTTGATGGGGAGATGATAGTACAACTGGAATAAAATAAAGTTGACAAGGAAGCAGAGAAGTGGGAAAACTCACTTATTGTCTATGTTTTGGAAGAGACACCAGGGTATACAATCATGCACAGGTATATTTCTCAAATGTGGAATTCTATTCCTATGCCAGATTTGTATTTGCATGAGGAGGGATATTATGTGGCTCGATTCAATAATGAAAATGATATGAATGAAGTACTCTTTTCTGGACCTTATACTATGAGGAATAGACCAATTATTCTGAAATTGTGGAACCTTGGTTTTGATTTTAATCAAGAGTTTATGACAGAGATTCCACTATGGGTAAAGTTCCCTAAACTACCTATGAGTTGTTGGGGATGTGGATCATTAGGCAGGATTGCTAGTGCATTAGGTAAACCTCTATTTGCTGATGAATGTACAACTAAACAAATGAGGATTTCCTATGCTAGAATGTTGATTGAAGTTAATGTATCTAAGCCACTGCCTGATACAATAGTAGTAATGGAACCAAATGGAAAAAAATTTCAACAAGAAGTGGAGTTTGAATGGAAGTCCCAATTCTGTCCAAAATGTCAAGTTATTGGACACATTTGTACTAAGAAACCTGAGTAGCAAGTGATGGATAGACAAGTACAAAATAGAAGAGGAGGGGAATAAAAGAAGATAGTGCAGGAATGCAAGCCTAAAGAAATTATGAATAAGCAGAGTGATGGCCAACAACAGGTGACTACAGAGGTCAATCAAAATAAATTGGATGATAGTATGAACAAACTGCAACAACAAGAAATTGCAACACCAGCTGAGAAGGATAGAAGTGTCACTAAAGGAAAGGAGCAGATGCCTAACCCAGAATTGAATCTAATCAACTTTCCACAGTTGAGTGCAGTGATGATGACCAAAGCTAGAACTGGATCTTCAGGGATAAAACAGAGAGAGATGCAGAGAATAAGGCAAGTTGAACCTCCTGACCTAGGAAGACCTATCATTGCTCAATGACTTGGCTATTTCGGAATATTAGGGGGTGAATAAAATGTACAAACAAAAAGAGTTAAAGAAATATATAAAAGCAAAAAATATAAAAATCCTGGGATTGGTGGAAACAAGAGTTAAGCAACATAGATGCAAGAAGATAGCTACAAAAATTGATGCTAATTGGGGCATTGTTCATAATTATTCAGCTGCCATCAATGGAAGAATCTGGTTGATGTGGGATCAAAACTCATATAGTGTAACTGTGCTAAGGGTGGAAGCCCAATTAATACATTGTGAAATCACTACAAATGATTTTCAATGTGTGATGACTGTTGTTTATGGCTTTAATACTGTGGAAGAGAGGAGAAGTTTATGGAGTAGTCTGGAAGATATAGCACAGAGCACTAACTGCCCATGGTTAGTATGTGGAGATTTCAATGCAATGCTAGTAACTGCTGATAGACAGAGCTCTCATCCTGTAACATTCAATGAAGTTAAGGATTTCTCAGAATGCATTAACTCAACTCTATCAAATGAATTACAGTGGAAAGGTGCTTATTATACATGGAGAAACAAGCAAAAAGGAGGAGAAAGAGTCAATAGAAAAATTGATAGAGCTTTTGGAAATCATGACTGGATGGGGCCATGTTGTACTTGAATATGATCTACCTAATATTTCAGATCATGCCCCTATGCTGTTAACCCTGCTTAAAGTGAACCAAAACATTAGAGCACCTTTCAGATTCTTCAACATATGGTGTGAGCATGAACAGTTCCTGCAAGCAACTGGATAAAGATCCCATGCAGAATATCTGGAATAAAATGAAGGCAATGAGACATATATTCAGACAATTAAACCAGAAGGAATTCAGAGTAACTGTGGGAAAGATTGACAAAGCTAGAGAAGATCTTCAAAGAATCCAGACAGCAATGAAAGGTAATTATGATGACAGTTTGCTAATTGAAGAGAGAGAAGCCCTGATGAATCTGGAAAAATGGAATCTGATAGAGGAGAGTATATTGAAGCAGAAATCTAGAGCTCAGTGGATACAGCTTGCAGACTCAAATTCAAAATACTTTGCTGCTGTTATAAAGGATAGAACTCAAAGGAAACAAATCAAAGAGCTCAAAGCATTGAAACATGGTAAGATGCTGACTAATCCTAATGACCTAAAGCAAGAAATTATTTCATTTTACAAAGGGCTAATGGGAAGTTCATAACAGTCACTAAGGGCAGTTAACAAGATAGTAATGAGTAAAAGACCTAAACTCAACCATGAGCAACAAATGTTTCTCTGTTCCTCAGTTACAGAACAGGAGATAGTGGAAGGGTTGAGATCAATTGGGAATGATAAATCCACAGGGTTGGATGGATACAATGCTTATTTCTATAAAAAGGCATGGAGTGTAGTAGGTCCAGAAATCATAAAAGCAGTTAAAAGGTTCTTTGAGGCTAGCAGGATGAATAGATCTATCAATTGTACATCTGTGACTCTAATACCTAAGAATGAGCATCCTACAAGTGTGAAGGAGTATAGACCCATTGCTTGTTGTTCAGTATTGTATAAAATCATTTCCAAAGTCCTAGCAGCAAGAATTCAGAAAATAATTGCAACAGTGATATGTGAAGCTCAAACTGGATTCATTCCTGGAAGGAAGATCTCAGATAATATCTTCCTAGCACAAGAACTGGTGAAGTCATACACAAGGAAAAATGTGTCTCCTAGATGCATGATTAAAATAGATCTTCAAAAGGCATATGATTCTGTTGAATGGGTATACCTGGAGCAGATGTTAGATGAGATGGGAATTCCTAGACAGTTCATTGTATGGGTACTAGAATGTGTGACAACTGCGAATTACTCTATCTTGGTCAATGGTAAACCAACAACTCCTTTCAATGCAGCTAAAGGACTTAGGCAAGGAGATCCAATTTCTCCTTTCCTATTTACAATAGCCATGGAATATCTGAGTAGGATGCTTAATGAAGTGAAAGGAAGTAAAGGATTCAAATATCACCCAAAGTGCTCTAAGCTATCAATAACTCATTTGTCCTTTGCAGATGATCTTTTGCTACTTTCAAGAGGTGATATTGAATCAGTGGATACTATTAGAAGATGTTTCATGGAGTTCTCTGATTCCTCAGGTCTTCAAGCCAATAAAGATAAAAGCTCCATTTATTTTGGAGGGGTTACTAAAGAGGTTCAGAATCAAATACTGCAATTGCTAGAATTCAATAAAGGTGACCTACCATTCAGATATTTAGGGATACTTTTAGCTACAAAGAAGATATCCCTAATACAGTGGCAACCTTTGATCAACAAGATGGTATCTAGAATTACTGCTTGGACTGCCAAGAAGCTCTCATACGCAGGAAGGGCACAGCTAATCCAAACAGTATTGTTTGGTATTCAGGCATATTGGTCACAAATATTTGCTATTCCCTCAAAGGTATTAAATGCAATTGAGGCTTACTGTCGAAGCTATCTATGGTTTGGTACAAATACAATTACGAGGAAAGCTCTGCTAGCATGGGAGAAAGTGTGCACTCCAAATTCAATGGGTGGATTAGGATTGATAAATATGAGACATGGAATAAGGCAGCAATAATTAAAGCTAACTGGGACATTGAACATAAGGTGGACAGACTGTGGATCAAGTGGGTACACTCGTATTATATTAAGAACCAACAGTTTGATCAACTGATCATACCGGTGCATGCAGGATGGATGGTGAGGAGAATCTTTGAAGCAGGAAGATCTGTGACGCTGGTTCAACACAGCAACAAAAGCAGCTTAATCAAGCAGATTTACCTTCAACTAATTGGCAACAATGAGAGGATACCATGGAAGACACTAAGGTTTGGGAATGATGCTCGACCAAAAGCCTAGTTCACAATGTGGCTGCAGATGCAAGGGAAACTACTAACAGTGGACAGAATTGCTGCTTGGGGCATAAATGTGGATCATGTATGTAAACTGTGCAATAGGCATAATGAAACAAGGAACCATTTATTCATGGAATGCCCTTATTCTATGGAAATCTGGCAACGGGTACTAAAATGGATAAAGGTTCAGCTATTCAAAATAGCACAATGGGAGCAGATGGAGAACTGGATCATTGAAAGAGCAAAAGGCAGAACAAAAAGAGCTCAAGTGTTCAAGATGGCATACATAAAATGGGTGTATGCAATATGGATAGAAAGAAAACAACGCTGATTTGAAGGCAGATCAAAAAATGCAAGTCAACTGGTGAGGAAAATTGCTTATGTGTGTAGTGTTCGAGCACCAGCCAGAATCAAAGATTGGTTCAGCAACTTAAAGTTAGTTAATTCTGGTAGTATGTGTTTTAGTCGTTTGTGAATATTATTGGATAGTAGAATGTGATGTAGTCTACTATGGAACTTATATGTAATCATTTTGGTGATTAATAAAAAATTTTAATTACCAAAAAAAAAAGTTAAATTATTTCCAAATTTAGAAATGTGTCATTTATTTTGGAACAGACTAAAAAAGAAAGTATCTCATCTAATTTGAAACGGAGGGAGTACAATTTTGGAGAGTCTGAAACCTAATTGTGGTCTTTTTGGACTCAAACCACATAAATAGGTGAAATAAAATTGATTACCATTTTATATGTAGTGTGGTTATTCATCGCGCTATATCTTAAGGACACATTTTCCCGTTAAGGTATTGCGCGGTAAATAACCGCGCTATATTTGAACTTTCCTGCCCAAACAATAATTCATCTGAATTTTACTGACCCACCGATAATTGAGGGTATAGCACATGCTGTATATGCGCTACATATATAGCGCCTATAATGCATGCGCTATACCCTCAATTATTGTACCCCTGGACTATTTTTTTTCTCATTTAAGGAGTTTTAGAATTTGGTAAAAATCCATTCAAGATCCTTCAGGTCTTCCGAAATATTTGTTCGTTAAGTTATTTTGCATTTTGTCATAATGTGCGAAGAGCGAAAAATTAGAGTTTCATTATATTGGGGGGTGAAGTTGTGGTGGAGAATAACTCAGTACTCTATAGTTGTTCTCCACAGTGTCATGTTAAGTTGCCGCTTACAATGGAGTACGATAGATTGGTATTGTTGTTATGTAAGAAAATGAGTGTGAGCAAACGTTCGGTAAATATTAAAATCATCGGAAGATATCCGTATCCTGTTACTCCACAAGGGGTTGCTTGCTATGCTTAGTTTAACATCAAAGACGATGAAACTCTGACAGATCTTTTGAGGACTCCAGATGAACACCGGGAACTTCTTGTGATAAAAATGTTGGAAATGTACGTGAAGGCTGAAGACGTTCGCAATATTGAGTTTCCGTAAAATAGGGATATCTCTCAATCATCGAGTGGTTTTTTTGGAGCAGTTATATCCGAACAGGTTCCGGATGAAAGAGTTTGGCCAGATCTAAACTTATCTCTGCGGGCGAATGAGGAGCGAGAAAATAATTTCTCCCCAAGTTTACATAATTCACAAGCCGAGTGGTAAACTTCAATTTTTCTTTGTGTTACGATATTTATTTTTATGTATTGTATTTGTACTAACACTCATATATTCCACAGGGGGTACCGGCCAGATATGAATTTTACAAGTTATGAACCAACAGACAGTTGGAATATGCCCAATTTTGGTGTGTTGGATCATGGTGGTCCATCCGGGAGTCATCAGCAACTGTATAATGTGCATAATAGGATATCAACAGATTATGATTTGTAAGTTAAGTGATAAAATTTATATGTAATGTTTGGATGAAATTAAGAAACTCATTATTTTATTGGTTGTGCAGGAAAAACGAGCAACTTGAAGGTCATGTCCTTACTCAATTGCTCGAAGAAGACATATTTAATCGAGATCTGGCAGATGTGCAGAGTCATGAAGATGATAGTGATTATGACAACAATGCTGATGAGTCTGGAGATGACACACCATTCCCTGATGAGGGTGATGATGATGAGGACGAGAATGATGAACCTGATTTGACTAGGGAACATGCTCCACCTACCGTTAGACCAAGAGTGTACGAGTCTCATGTGCCGTTTCATTCAAGGGGAGATTTCCTACCTTGATAAGTCGACAAGTATGCCGGATGTGGATGCCCTCATAAGGGATCTTGATTAAATTCAGAAAGCAATGCGAGATGAATATAGAGCAACGATGCTGTCAAAGAATATGCTTTTTGCTAATAAAGCACGCCTAAGAAGGGCGGTGCGAATGTACAACATAAAAGAGTGTCGTGAGATCGTGGTTCATGAGTCATCTCAGGAAGTATACAAGGTTATTTGTCATAGATGGTTTCAAGGTTGTAATTGGATGCTGCGTGCGAGAAAGTTGAAAACAAATTTGTGGATTGTGGGGAAATACATTGGCACCCACACTTGTGAAATGAATACATTCAGTGGGAATCATTTTAGCTTGAATGTTGACTTGATTTCTCTTGTCTTGATTCCACACATTGAAGCATCCATAAGGTACAAGACCAAAGAGTGTATAACATCCGCCACCAGGTATATGGATGTACCATTACCAAAAGAAAGACATTTCTCGAGCGTAAATGCGCGTTTGAAATTGTTTATGGTAACTGGGATATGTCCTTTGCTGCTCTACCCAGGTACATGGCTGTATTGCAGCACATTCACCCCGGGACCGTTGTTGAATGGAAGCTTGAGTGGAGTCCGGAAATGCCAGAATACATATGCAGATATGTGTTCTGGGCATTTAAACCAGCCATTGATGGCTTTGTGCATTGTCGGCCGGTAATATCCATAGACGACACTCATGTCTATGGAAAGTATGATATTAAGTTGTTGATAGCCGTTGCATTAGATGCTAATGGAAGTATATTTCCCCTAGCATTTTCTATTTGTGCCAATGAAAGCTAAGAGATGTGGAAATTGTTTTTGAACCATTTGAAGGATCAAGTTGTCAGACAGCGTTCAAGTATTTGTCTAATATTTGATCCGCATGACAGTATTTTAAGTTCTGTACAGAATTTGCGTACATGGCAGGAATCGTATGCCTACCACTGTTACTATGTTAGGCACTTGAAGGCCAACTTCTAGAGGGCTTATCCGAACAAGGACTTACATGATTTAATGTGGATGGCTGCAACAGTTCACCAAGAGTGTAACTTCCAAAGACGAATGGAATTGATTAGGCAGGAAGACCCAGAAACGTATCGTTGGTTGATGCGACATGAGCTT